CCACCTAAAAACCCCTTTCATCCACTACTGTGATGATAATAATAAACTAAGATTAGGTATTTCAAATTATATATGTGCCATTATACATTTAGTGTGTCTTGGGGATACTTAAAATCAGAGAGCACATATGGACCATTAAAAGTTTTTGGAAAAATATTTTTTAAGTAACCACAAATGAGAATGTTAAAAATCTTTAAAAAAATTTTTTAAAAGAAATGTATGGTCTGTCTCTTAGAATTAATATCCAGGTTAAACTTCTACTTTTCTGTATTAATTTACTGATTGATTGGTGGAACCAGATATATTTATTTTATACTTTGAGTTATGATCCAATACCATGCTACAGGGCTTCCCTGGTGGATCAGTCGAAGAATCCACCTGCAATGCAGGAAACCCAAGTTCAATCCCTGGGTTGGGAAGATCCCCTGGAGAAGGAAATGGCAACCCACTCCAGTATTACTGCCTGGAAAAATCCATAGACACAAGAGCCTGGCGGGCTATAGTCCATGAGGTCACAAGAGGCAGACACGACTTAATGACTAAACCACCATCTCCACGCTGTGCTAATTCTGTTGCTCAAATTGTTTACTGGGAGCTCATTCAGGTTTGCTGCTCTTGTGTCCTTCATCTTTTCTGATTTTTCAGTGCTTCCTTGCATTCAAATAATACAGTATCTCCAGGTTTTTCTTTCTCTGCTCCAGTCCTGGAATCAGACATTTCTCCAAGGAATCCTGTTTTCTTTTTACATGAGGATGGCATTTAGAAACCAAAATTTGGGTACTGGGTGTCAAAGATCTTTCAGCTGTAAAAAGCTCTCTCACACCAAAAAGCATTACAAGGAAAAGTCTAAGAACTAAATACCAAGAAGTACAGATTAAAGTGATTAAGATAAAAAGAATCCTAAGTAACAATAACCCATGAGGTACTGAGAGGTCAAGAAGCCTGGAGATCCCAAAGTCTATCAAGCAAAAAATAGAAGAAATCAAGCAAATCACAAATATCATAAATATTTAGATACCAAAAGAGTGAGACTACCTGGAATATTTTTATTATTTTGTTACCTTAAAATATTCAATAAAATATTCAATTTTGGAAAAATCCAAAAAAAGAAAATTCACAATTTTCTCATTTTGCAAAGATCAACAACATCGAGGGCAGTGAGGTACTCTTACAATCTTTTTACTCCAATTTGAGTCCTCCAGCGCCAATCCTCAAGTCACCCGTGGCTCCTCCTTCCCAATTTCTAGCAATTACTGAACTCAATTCATTCTTTCTTTATCTCTTTCTCTACCTAACAATCATCTGACCATTTCCTACATGAAATACCATACCATTCTTCCAACTGGTCTTTAAAGAAATTATTTTCCTTACAAATATTTTTGCACATGAATACAAATAATTACACATAATTTGTTTAAAAACTTCATTATTCAGCCCTAATTTATCTTTTCACCTACAATTCTCTTATCATTCTCTGTTGCCCCAAACTATACCTACCTAGTTGTTATTTCTAAGTACATCCTCCATTTCTCTCCAAATCTTATTAATAACAGACTAATTTATATACATATACAATAATCTTGAAAGGGCAAAACTGTTGATAAACGTGAGCTGATCCATATCTTTGCTCCAATATAGAAGAAACATAAAAATGAGACAAATTTAGAAATGCATTGTATAAATTTGCATTAAAATTTGTTTAAAATGAGTTTGCCAATACTACATTCTAACCAAAGTAAGAACTGTGACCAGAGGAAAAAAACTTTCCCTCTGAGGACAGTTCTATAGGTTTACTTGGTTTTCTTGCACTCCAAAAAATAGTCTTTTTATTGTCTCTGTTTCTTCAGGTTTCTTATGATTCAGGAAAGCTTACCTTGAATGTTGGATTAATTTTTTAAAAATCAACATTATAAAAGTGATACGATAAGAACACAAAAAAAGGCAAGACAATGATTTATAAAATCATGAAACAAAATAAGAATCTATAAATTTAAAAAAAAGATGTAATTTTCCTTCTCAAATTTTATTGAAGAAATCAGAAACAGAAATCTGAAACCTACTTTATGCTTTAGAGATCTACAGAACTGCCTTCTCATTGAAATATGTATTTTAATTTCAACTTCTATTCTACATATCTTCTTTTATAATAGGCCAGAAGGAAAAAAGGTAACAGAAACACACATCCATTTATAGTTAGTTTTTTACAATATTTTATTTCTGTACTGAATATGAAAGGATTTATGCTTCTTCAAAGAGTAAGCAAACTGCCTATCATCAAATTAAGACCTCAGATTTCAGCTATGCAGGCCACCATATTCCTTATAGAAAGCAGGAAAAGTATTTTTCACTGAATTGCAGTTGTAAATTTATCACATCAGGTGAGAACAGGCAGTGCTCTAATTATCCTCTCATCTCCTTGCTTCTCCATATATTATAAGAACTATTATTGTCATGCGAAACTTTTAGACATCTCATTTGGAATTAACTTACTATGAGCTTTTAAAATATCAAAAGAAATTTAGATTTGTCAACACATTAAATATGGTATCCACTACATCTTTACCTCTTAAAGTTAAAGGTAATATTTCTTTGTAATAACAGGTCTTGTTTACTTAACACTCACTACAAAACCTACAAAAAAAAATATGTATGATTTTCACAGTAACTCTATGAAGACAGGTGCTATTTCCAGTCCTAAGTTTACAGGAGAGAAAATTAAAACCAAGATTACACACTGGAATTAAGTAATAAAACAGAGATCTGAACTCAGCAAGCTGAACTTAAAGATTACACTTTGTACTAAGTATCATTGTTCTTTATAACATTTTAATTGCAAACTGGTACTGCTTTTGAGCAGCTACATGCTAAAAGAAGGGCAATAAAACTGAATTTAGTGCCACATAAAATAGGTATACAATTTTGGTAACTGGATAAGACTGTTTCTTGTATGACCATTTCTGATCCATCATCTTATTCTTATATATATTCTTATTCTTATATAAATACATGCTAAATTTTAAAGTTACTACACAAAACAAGAAGGATTTTCAAATTCTTTTCCCATTTAGGCTGTTACATAAGATTGAGCAGAGGAACTCTTCATTTGCCAGGATGTCTCCTCAGTTCCAGAAGAAGAAGGAGGGCTCTAAATCACAGAAGATTACAAGAGAAGGAGACGGCACTAACTTATACCTGCATAACAAACCTTGTTTATCATGATTTTCCTGATAATCCTCCACAACTGGCCTCCCCATCCTCACTTTCTTCTTTGTCTGCAGCTGAAGATGTTATTAAGCCCACATTATAAGTCACCCTGGAGTTTTCACTTTCTCAGGAATACCTTCTATGAACCCAGGAGGTATACATGTTAATAAACTTTTGTTTTCCTCTTATTCATATGTCTTTTATTACCGAGGTCTCAGTCAAGAACTCAGAAGGGTAAGGGAATCATTTTTTCCTTCCCCTACAGGCCTTTGCCTTAGAATTCCCACAGCCTGTGAGGGGAGAGTACATTACCAATCTGCTACCTCTATCTAACCTAAACCAGTCAATCACAGTTCTTCCTTCTTTTCACTCATAGTTGACCACTGTCCACATTTTAAAAATTCAAGAATCATATATGTTTATAAAGAAGCTGTTTTCGCTTCTTGTGAATTTCTATAGATACCCATATATATTTAACAATTTAAAAATTCTCAGGCCTGCCTACCTTACAGTAGGTACCTCTTCTTAAAAGTGGCTGAAAATTTATTTTACTTTTTCCATTAAGTTTACTAATGTATAAACTGGAATAATTTCATATATTTAAAATGTGAATTCTTGGATCAAGGTATCCCCAAACAGAAGCTTATATATTGGTCTTTAAGCCACCAAATAAGTGATCTATTAGAACACTTTAATGTCCCAGGCACAGCTCAATCAGGAAATTAAAAACTGCCAAATACCAACAAGTAAGAAGACTATATCCAAATATATTGCACAAAAAATAAACAGAATAGTAAGATTATGTGCAAATATAGTATATGGTAAAAGGAAATACACTTTCTTTTAAAATTCAAGGCAAGAGTCTTAACATTTAAGGATATTCATTTTAAAAACACTTGTAATAAACATAATAATTATGGAGGAGAATTATAAGTATGAGGAACAAGCCCAATCAATTTTATCTCAAATTTTGAACCTGTCTTTTAAATAACTAAATTTCAATTAGATTATACAAAGTAGCCAACTCAATTTCCTAATGCAAAAAAGTTTATATATATTCAACAGGTACATATACTATTCACAGAAAATGCTAAAAGCTATTTTTATTTATTCACTGGAAAATGGGGGAAAGTGCTCAATTACTACTACAATAGTGGGGCTGAAGCACTATGTTATCAAGAGAGACATTCCTAAACCACTTTGCAAAAAAGCTACTCAAAACAACATGTTCGTTTCAATATTAAATTGTACTCCTACAAGTTTCTATAATCTGAGGAGAAATCTCAGATTACTGACTAAGTGTTACTACACTGATGCACCTTTGGTTGATTCTAGGCTGTAGGATCCATCTGTTTTATTTACTGGTATATCCCAAGTTTCTAACACTATATGCCTCATAGGTGACAGGTACTCAAAAAACATTTGCTAATCAATGAGTCAGTCTTTCAACTGGCTTCACTGTTTACTGGTACTCTTCTTACTCATTCTATTTCAAACCAAATTTTCATTTGAAAAATCTAAAATTTCTCCACGGATTTTGAAGTCCTTTTATCAATAAAATTTTGAAAAAAGCTCTCATTCTTCCTTTATGTCACTCTATTCATCTGAAGTCACAAATGAACTACTCTTTTTTCCCCCCAAGTCTACTTCAAAATGTACTAAGACTACACTGAAAATTTCTCCTATGATTTTGAATATCTGGAGATTGTGGTCAGGTAAGAATGACACGGCCAAAGTACCAGACCTAATCAGGGTATCAGTTAGCTCAGGGCTTAGAGACAGTCCCTCCTGGCCTTTTAACTTCTACCTGAAACATGAAATTCATAATACATTTTATGAAATCTAATTACAATGATAATTTAAAGCATCATTTTAAAGCACTGGACTTACCATTATAGGTTATTCTTGGCTTTGTTAAACACATCACAAGATGCAAATCCATTTCATCTGAGGGTACAAATTTTGAGCATACAGGGCACTTAAATCCTAAAAAATAAAATAAATCCATGTTACTTAACAATTTTAAATATCCAGCTTTGCTTTTTAAAAAAGGAAGAAAAAGCATTTCAAACTTCAGTATTACACGCACATTAATACACTACCTACACGCAACTTAAGTTGGGAAAAGAGTTTGTGACTATAGTATCTGATTTAAATCAGTTTATGAACACCGTTCAATTTCAGTGAAGGGAATCTGATTCACTACAAAACTTTCGTATCCTTTTCTAATGTGTGGGTCCAATCATTTTCATTTCTTATTTTTTCATTAATCTGAACTTACAATTTTGTTGTAATAGCTTTGTATTCTGACCATCTTTCCTGACAGTACCTTTCCCAGCTTGGTACAGTACAATTTGAGTTGCAAGATTTTATAGCTAGATAGTACCTTACAAACTATTCTATTCCATGTTGACCTTTTAAAAATGTATCTGTATCCATGGCTGATTCATGTCAATGTATGACAAAACCCACTACAATATTGTAAAGTAATTAGCCTCCAACTAATAAAAATAAATGAAAAAAAAAATAAAAAAACAAGCCCAATCAATTTTATCTCAAATTTTGAACCTGTCTTTTAAATAACTAAATTTCAATTAGATTATACAAAGTAGCCAACTCAATTTCCTAATGCAAAAAAGTTTACATATATTCAACAGGTACATATACTATTCACAGAAAATGCTAAAAGCTATTTTTATTTATTCACTGGAAAATGGGGGAAAGTGCTCAATTACTACTACAATAGTGGGGCTGAAGCACTATGTTATCAAGAGAGACATTCCTAAACCACTTTGCAAAAAAGCTACTCAAAACAACATGTTCATTTCAATATTAAATTGTACTCCTACAAGTTTCTATAATCTGAGGAGAAATCTCAGATTACTGACTAAGTGTTACTACACTGATGCACCTTTGGTTGATTCTAGGCTGTAGGATCCATCTGTTTTATTTACTGGTATATCCCAAGTTTCTAACACTATATGCCTCATAGGTGACAGGTACTCAAAAAACATTTGCTAATCAATGAGTCAGTCTTTCAACTGGCTTCACTGTTTACTGGTACTCTTCTTACTCATTCTATTTCAAACCAAATTTTCATTTGAAAAATCTAAAATTTCTCCACGGATTTTGAAGTCCTTTTATCAATAAAATTTTGAAAAAAGCTCTCATTCTTCCTTTATGTCACTCTATTCATCTGAAGTCACAAATGAACTACTCTTTTTTCCCCCCAAGTCTACTTCAAAATGTACTAAGACTACACTGAAAATTTCTCCTATGATTTTGAATATCTGGAGATTGTGGTCAGGTAAGAATGACACGGCCAAAGTACCAGACCTAATCAGGGTATCAGTTAGCTCAGGGCTTAGAGACAGTCCCTCCTGGCCTTTTAACTTCTACCTGAAACATGAAATTCATAATACATTTTATGAAATCTAATTACAATGATAATTTAAAGCATCATTTTAAAGCACTGGACTTACCATTATAGGTTATTCTTGGCTTTGTTAAACACATCACAAGATGCAAATCCATTTCATCTGAGGGTACAAATTTTGAGCATACAGGGCACTTAAATCCTAAAAAATAAAATAAATCCATGTTACTTAACAATTTTAAATATCCAGCCTTGCTTTTTAAAAAAGGAAGAAAAAGCATTTCAAACTTCAGTATTACACGCACATTAATACACTACCTACACGCAACTTAAGTTGGGAAAAGAGTTTGTGACTATAGTATCTGATTTAAATCAGTTTATGAACACCGTTCAATTTCAGTGAAGGGAATCTGATTCACTACAAAACTTTCGTATCCTTTTCTAATGTGTGGGTCCAATCATTTTCATTTCTTATTTTTTCATTAATCTGAACTTACAATTTTGTTGTAATAGCTTTGTATTCTGACCATCTTTCCTGACAGTACCTTTCCCAGCTTGGTACAGTACAATTTGAGTTGCAAGATTTTATAGCTAGATAGTACCTTACAAACTATTCTATTCCATGTTGACCTTTTAAAAATGTATCTGTATCCATGGCTGATTCATGTCAATGTATGACAAAACCCACTACAATATTGTAAAGTAATTAGCCTCCAACTAATAAAAATAAATGAAAAAAAAAATAAAAATGTATCTGTTGAAGAAAGTGAAGCCTTTCATGGAACAGCAAAGTCAGGTCTAGAATCTAAGGCTCCTGACTTCTACTATATTGGACTTATTGCCATACCACAAGTCACAAGGCAAACAGAAAACAGCACCAAATGGCAGATTTCTTAGTCCATTTTGACATAAACATTAGTTTCCTACAATATTCAATTTGCACTAAGTACTTGCCAGAAGTACTCTATTAAAAATAAACTGGCAGACCGAAGGAGGGAATATGTTATGAATTCAGCTCTATCCTGCTCCCTCACTTACCAAGGGTAACTGTTCATCCATGGGTCCTTGCAGTTTCCCTGTAGACCTACTTACTGCTCTCTCCTCCAACATCCCCAACCTGCATAATCAGTGAACTGATAAAGTCCATTTATAGCCTGGTGAGGAACAACTAATCAGAAGTGGCACAAAAAGATGGCCTGAGCCAATTCGTTTTTCTTGAAAATGTGACTAAGAAACAGCAAGAGGGTCATGGGTCAGCTGTAGACAGCGGAAGCAAAAAGGGCACATGAAGTTAAGAGACCGCAGTGGGGTATCTATTCTGGGTCATGTGTAGGCTGAACTTACAGGAGAAAAACTATCAGCAAGCACAGGAAAACAGCTCACATGGAGATCTGAGAGCAGATGTGCAGACAGGAGCAAAGCGCTGTGAGAAACAAGAAGTAAGGGTGGTGGGAAAGAAAAAAAAAGTCCCTCAACGTTGACCCAGATTGTGGTAGCTTTCTACTTCTAGTGTATGTGTGCTCTTATAGACACTCTCCTCCCTGCGTCCTGATGTGAATGAAACCCACTGCAACCAAGTCAAAGTAGAGTCATACCTCACGCAGAGCTCTGTTGAAGAGGAAAAGGCTTTGGCATGCGTACGTAATCCTCGTACTCAACTTCCTAAACGGAATATGTGTTTCTGAACAGTTTTTTCACAATGTATTAAATACATTTTAAAAGAAAGGAATAAAGGTATATTTAATTCCCACTTCTTAAAAACCACCAAAAAAGAAAAAAGAGGATCAATCTAAAATTAAACTACAAAAATAGCTACAATCCTCAAACAATTCTGACACAAATACTAGCTACTGCATCAATGTGGCAAAACATGCATAAAATGGGGAGAATATAAAGAGACGCTCAAGCAGCACTCCTATTTCCAGGACCATTAGCAATCTTTTTCTTAGAATTGCAAAAACATCCTTCCCTTTTGAAATTAAACAGGACATTAAAAAAAATTTTTTAACTACTTAATTTTCTAACTGCTGATCAAAATCACATGCATACTGGCACATGAACTCTAAATTACCAAACAAAAACGCACAACCATGAACCTCTCAGAGCCATCCAACTGCCCACAAAGTAGAGCCTAAGGGAAGAAACTCTATGTACCAAGAGCCACTGTATTTCTACTTAAATACAATAAATTGATGTGTTTGTTTCTCCCTCACCTAAAACCCACTAAATCAAGAATAAATGTAACAAAATAAGGTAAGGAACTTGAAAGGAGACAGCAGTAGATGAACAGATGGGCAGAATTGACAGGACTGAGAAAAGACATACTAAGTGTCTGCAGAAGCCAATTCTCACTACATAATCCTCAAAAAACTCAAGAACCTATACTTCCAACAACTTTCCATGCCAGGGATGAGGTTAACCATGAAGAAATTCCCAAGTCTCCAACCCATGACATGTAGCCAAGCAACTACAGCTTCGCAATGATAGCAGAAGAATAAGAGTTCACCACAGGAGGGAAATGGAGAAGGCAATGGCAACCACTCCAGGACTCTCGCCTGGACAACCCCATGGACGGAGGAGCCTGGTGGGCTGCAGTCCATGGAGTCGCTACGAGTCCGACACGACTGAGCGACTTCACTTTCACTTTTCACTTTCACACACTGGAGAAGGAAACAGCAACCCACTCCAGTGTTCTTGCCTTGAGAATCCCAGGGACGGGGGGGCCTAGTGGGCTGCCGTCTATGGGGTCGCACAGAGTCAGACACGACTGAAGTGATTTAGCAGCAGCAGCATAGGAGGAAAAAAGACCCAAAACAGATCTGCTTGAGGATACCAGGTACAGCAAGAAGGAAAGAAAACAAGGGAATGAATAAATAAATATCTATGTACAGAAAAGGGCCCTTCCTACCAATCTCCTTTTCCCTATCCCTACCAAAAAAAATTGGTAGCTACTTCTCTTAAATCAGAAATTCCACAGAATGAACCATCAAGATCCTTCTCTGTTGATAAGGTCAAGTCTTACATATAAAGCTTCCAAACAGCTTTTCAGGTTTTGTTCTCATAAACATAATGCAATACCAAAGAACAAAACAACAACAAAAAAAAAAAAACTGCACAGTTAAAACACAGCAGAAACAATTTCAAAAGGCTAATGAAATATTTACAACCGTTATCACAAAAGGACAATATCCTTAATACACAAAGAACTCTTTAAAAATGAGGAAAACCAAACACCTGTTAGAAAAATGGGCAAAAATTTTAAACAGACATCTCACCAAAAAGAAAGATAAGCAACCAACCCTTAAACAAATGAAAACCAGTGTCAGAATGTAAGAAGCACTTTCCTCTTAAGAAGTTCTGCTTATTTCTTTACTCTCATTTTAGTGGACTGAGGAGGGAAGAGAGAAATATGTGTTTAATTCACTGTCTTTTAATTAAAAATCCAGGTATTCTTTGTACAGACTGTTTTCTTTCCTTGGGCTTTATATCTCTATTCTAAAATATCATTACTCATCCCGGACAGGCAAGAATGCAAAAGACTAGCACTCATTCTTGGACAGGCTGTGGAGAAACAGGTACTTTCACACATTGCCAGTAGGAGTACTAAACTGTACAACCTCTACAGAGGGTAATTTCAGAATATCTAACTAGATTACACATGTATTAACTAATCCTGCAATCCCATTTCTAGGATCTCTCCCTAAGGGTATACCAGTCAAAATACCAAAAACCACAAGCAGGGACAAAAGATCATGGGAAGATGGCAAAGTAGAATGCATTCAGGAAATCTACCTCCCCACCTAGACAAAAACTGAATGGGTGGAATTTGTTTGAAGGAACCATTTTGGAAGTCTGCAATCTACTGAAGGCTTGCAACTTCCAGGGGAAGGAAGGCTTGGACAATACACTGTGGTTAATTTCAGCTCTTAGCACAGAGGCAGTTACCCTTCCCCCCCATTCCCAGCCACATGGCAGGCAGTGGTGCACTTGTTCCTGGCAAAATCTGATTTCCAGAGTTACCACATTAGATTTAAATGTTCAGTTTTCAGGAAGAAAAAGAAAAAAAAAAAAAAAAACTTATACAAATGAACAGGAAACGTATGGCCCATTCAAAGGGGAAAAAAAAAATCAGCAGAAACCGTCCCTAAAAAAGACCTGATGGCAGATATACTAGGAAAAAAAACCTTTAAAATGCCTGTCTTAGAAATGCTCAATAAAGAAAGATGTGCAGAAAGGTAAGAAAATGACAAATGAGCAAAATATCAATAGAGAACAAATAAAAACCAACAAAAAATTCTGGAGCTGATAAGTATAATGTCTGTGTTAGCGGCTCAGTCATGTCTAACTCTTTGAGATCCCAGACTGTATGTAGCCCACTAAGCTCCTCTGTCCATAGGATTCTCCAGGCAAGAACACTGGAGTGAGTTGGCATTTCCTTCTCCAAGGGACCGTCCCAACTCAGGTCTTCCGCAGGCAAGACCTTCCTTCTTTGCAGGCAAATTCTTTACCATCTAAGCCACCAGGACTGAAAAGTATAATAACTGAAATGAAAAACTTGCTAGAGGAATTCAAAGGCAGATTTGAACAAGAAGATGAAAGAAAACAGTGAGTGTGAGGATAGGACAGTGAAGTTATCATGTCTTAGGAGCAGAAAGTAAAAAAGACTGAAAAAGTGGACAGGGTATGAGACCTGGGAGACACCGACAAGCAGACCAAAATATACATTTGGGACCCAAAAGGAGAGAGAAGGGAGTACAGAAAAATACTTGAATAATGGCTGAAATCTTCCCAAATTTGATGAAAGACACGAACATAAACATGTGAGACACTCAACAGCCTCCATGTAAGATGAGGCCACATTGGTTATACTATAATCAAATTTTCAAAAGACAAAGAAAAACTACTGAAAACAGGGATCCTCAATATGATTATAAGGAGATTACTCATGATAAACCTGGATTCCAGAAAGCAGCTGGCTGGTGGAGAAAGGAAAAAACCATTAATTAAGAATCTTCTATTCAGGAACTTCTCAGGTGGTCCTGTGGCTAAGATTCCACACTCCCCATGAGTGTTCAATCCCTGGTTAGGGAACTAGATCCCACATGCTGCGACTAAGACCCACCTCAGCCAAAAAAAAAAAAATCTTATACCCAGCAAAACTTCTTCAAAAGTGAGGGAGAAATGAAATTCCCAAATAAACAA